TTCAGATGCCTGGTCTGTCTAAGATGACACCGATATTCCGCCACTTGAGGATGAGTAGCTTTCATCGCAATGAAGCCTTTCCGCCTTGCATAAGTCTCAAATTTCAGCCATTTGTCATCATACAGGTTACGAGCAGATCTTCGTAACGCTAGCATTACTGCCTTGACTGCCCTGGCGGAGTATCCTCTTTTCTTCAAACATGTTTTGATACGGTCCACATGTGTAGCTGGAACGCTGTCAGGTTCCCGTGGACTTGCTTGGTGTGCGGATGTACGAGTAGGTTCGGCCAATCTGGTAACTTGATTGCTGGTCATCCGAGATCTTCTATTAGGTCTAGGAACCATACTCTCACTGGCCAGTATGGCGCGACCAAAGTCAGTTGTAGCGCCTGTGTCTGTTTGACCTTCAACAGTACTTCCGGAAGTAATATAGGGGGTGGAAATGCATAAGCGTTTAGTCCTTCCCAAGATATGCTCAGTGCATCTGCTGCCCAGGCTTGAGGATCTGGAACTGGTGAGACAAACGTAGTTGTTTGTTGAACCTCGTGGCAAACAGGTCTATGCAAGGGGATCCTATTTCCCTTATGATGAGCCGGAACACTTCCGGATGGAGCATCCATTCCATAGGTGACAGGTGCAGTGGTCGGGAGAGAGCGTCTGCAAGTACGTTCTTGGCTCCGGGTATGTGACACGCCTTTATCCAGATGTTTGCTTCCTCCGTGATGTGGAACAACTGGAATGTGAGCTGTAGCAGGCTTGGAGACCTTGTGGATCCTTGCTGATTTATGGAGAATGCCACTGTAGAGTTGTCCGTGTGGACCATCAGTATTCTGTTGTTCAGCGAGCTCGACCATAGTTGTAAGGCGTTGATCACAGCTTTCATCTCCAGCAGATTGATGTGAAGATGCTGTTCTATTTTGGACCACCTTCTTGATGCAACTTGATTGTTGAGATGCGCACCCCAGCCCTGCATCGAAGCGTCTACGTAGAGATGTGTGTCGAAGGCCGGCTCTTGTAAATAGGTCCCTCTGCAAACATTCGATTTGTGCGTCCACCACAGTAGATGCCTCTTGAGGTTGTCTGGCAGCAAGATAGGGTCGACGCTGTCTAGATGTTTTGTCAGGAACCGTTGCTGCGGTCTTAGTTGTAACATTCCTGTGCGAGGTTAGTAGACCGAGTAGAACTTGCCATGATCGTAGTGTTAACGGAGAGATGACTGCTGGTGGAATCATGGCTTGTATCTTGACCCAACGATCTTCTGGGATGACAATACGATTCTGTGTTGTGATAAACCTTATCCCCAGAAATTGCAGATCTTGTTTTGGGTCCAACTCTGACTTCATAATGTTCACCAGCCATCCTAGTTGAGTGAGCAACTTGATCGTTAAGTTCAGCTGTAGTCTGAGTTGATGGGCATCTTGGTGAACCTGAATTCCGTTGTCCAAGTAGAAGGCATTGCGTAGACCTCGATGATGTAGATATGCGACTATAGGCTTGGTTACTCGTGTGAATAGCCACGGAGCCGAAGATATTCCAAATGGTAGGACGTTCCATTGGAAGTGCTGTGCCTCTGAATAGGAATCGTAGATACTTTCTTGATTCCAGATGTATGGGGATGTGTAGATACGCATCCTGCAGGTCTATGCTGGCCATGTAATCTGCTGGATGGACGAGTAGTCTGAGTTGAGGTAGGTGGATCATTCTGAACCTCTCTGGTTTCAGTAGATAGTCTTTGTTGAATTTGCGAATGTTGTAAATCATGTTGTCTGAACTTCTCCTTGGAGTTCTTCTTGGCTACTAGAAAAATTGGGAATAGAAGCCTGGAGTGAGATGATGCTGATCTATTATCTCTACTGCCTCCTTCATAAGTAGTGAGTTGATGGCTTCTTGTAGTTTGTCTGCCTGTTCCTCTGCATAGTTGAAGACCATCGGGCTGAGGGTTAGCGGAGGTGTGGCCTTGAGTTGTAGTCTGTATCCTTCTCTTAGTACTTGGGAGACGTAGTCGTCCTCTAGTATTCCCCAATTTTGCCAGTACCTTTGTAGACGTCCACCCACTGTCGACGGTTTTACAGGAACGGCTGGGGATGGAAGACTCCAGTCGTTCCGAACCTTGATATCAACGTCTAGTTCCTCTGGATCCTCTGGGAGTGCAGCCTCTCCCTGAGTTTCCTCTGTAATTTCCGGATGGGCGACGAAAAGATCCTTTGCTGCCTCTGAAGCTGGGGTACTTCTTCTCCTTTGCCTTCTGTATGCCGGAATATTTGGACTTGCTGTTATACCTTTGCGAAGTATGACGGATGACGTTGACCAGAGTATCTATGGATTTATCTATCATCATAACTTCTCTAGAGTCATATGTAGCTTCCTTAGCTGCATCGTCTATTTGTCCTCCAAAGATAGTAGGCGCCTCCCATGAGCTCTCAGTAGCGGTTGGGTGAATCTATCACTCATCAACAGGATGCAAGTAGCCCTTGTCTAGGTAGTAAAGTGAGACCTGCAGATATAGTTGCCAGATGGTCCGATAAAAAGTATTGGTCCTTCTTCTGTGTTATGAGGGCCAAATATATCATTCTATCCTCTTTCGAACTTGAGTTCTGGAATTTATTGATCAATGCTTCATTGATGGCTCTGGACCTGGCCAACCCCAAGAAGGACCTCCTTGTAGCAGTATCAAGTTGAGATAACTTTTTATCTTCCACTTTATACATCTTGTTTCGGGAGTCGTTGACTAGCTTTATGTTGTCATCCATATAATGTAAGGGGAATCTCTTCACATTAAATGATGGCAGATGCTGACTCTGGTACTTGGATGCTTTCGCGAAAGCTGTGCGTAGGTTAGAGGGTACCTTGGATATAGGTTCAATCGGAGGGATAGTGACAGAGTCAAACTCGTCGTTACGCATCATATAAGTGTAGACTTCATCTTTATCCTTAGAAGGAGACTCCAAGTTCAACCCGTTGGCAATCCACACTGTAAGCTCTGAGTCTGGGAAGACGAAGTCTGCTTGCTGATCCAGAGTCTCCTGATTATTAGTGCTAGGCCTCTGCGACTCTTCCATCTGCGAACCTATATCCCTTCTTGAACCTTCATCATCCTTTCGCGAACCTCTATCTCAAGATTCCTCCCTATGCGAACGTCTATCTTGAGAGTCCTCTCTATCTGTTGATTCATCTCTTCGCGAACCTCTGTGATGTGAGCTATCCCTTCGCGAATGTCTGTCGCTAGATGTATTCCTTCGCGAACTTCTGTGATGTGAGCCTTCTCTTCACGAACCTCTGTCTCGTGATGAGTGACTTCGCGAACGTCTGTGAGAGATATAAGATCTCGATCTAGAGCGACTAGGTGTAGGAGATGGATCCTTCAATGTTCTCGAACGTTGAGGGTTCGCGGATGTAGAACTGTGAGTAGGCATCTCATCTCTTATATCCTCTTCCAAGATGACAGAGTTGTCCGACTGTGGAGACCTTTGCAAAGGTGTACGTTCGCCAACGTAGTCTTGAGACGTAGTTCTATGAGGAGTAGGTTCGCGCAGGTCCATAAGTTTGCGCATGGTGTCGGTAGATGAGAGGCTTCGCCGAGCCTTCACTTTTTCCTCGAACCTACGTTCCATCATGGCCATCATCTGGTTAGTGAATTGTCTCATACATTCGCCTGGGTAAAAGTTCTGCGTTGGTTGAAGCTGCATTGGTGTAGACGAACGTTCGCGAAAGCTGATGTGTTCTGCGCCTCAACTTCACTCCGTTGAGAAGTAAGTGGTAGTTCGTCAAACAGCTGGCCTGCTGTGACCATTGCAGTGGACGATCTAGTTGTTGTAGAAGTCGATTGTAACAGGGGGTCATCAAAAAACGTCTACTTCATGTGGAGGTAATATCTCTTCGTTGAAGGATTTCTGCTGCATTGACTTACTAGCACGCGTAGATTTACCCTCCAATCTGGTAACAGATGCTTTCTTCTGAGATGTAGAAGAAGATGAGGTCTTTTTCTTAGCCTGAGTCGGAGTCAACTGCGTTGTAGCCGATGTCTACTTGGCCCCCGTACCAGCAGACTGCCCCTGCAACGCACTAAACATAGCACCAGTATTATGAACTTCAGCAGTAGTTATTGCCAAATCCATATACAGTGTAATTTTGAAGAATAGGACCTAAATAAAAAGGATATAATGCCGTATAGGGACTCCAGTGCTCGCCCAACCATCCACTTAGGCAAACAGGGAGAGAGTGACAAATAAGGCTGGTCACATGACTGTTTGCTCGGGAAAATGGCAAAAGGGAGGTAACTCGTGGGTGAGTGTATTTTTACGTCCGCTTCGGGAACTTCAAGGGATTCAAGTGTTCCACTACCATTCGAAAAGGAAAGGGAGATAAGCAAAAGATCATGAGTCAGGATAAGAAAAAATTTAATGTTTTAAAGATTATTTATCACAAGTATTGTTGAGCTTTTGTTTATGGAAACAAAAAAATCTGGAGGGGAGAGGTGTAGTAATGTAACTATTAACGTGACTGAATTGAGAAGTAATGCTCCCTTAACTACTCGATGTAAACAACTGCTCTATGTGTACCCCAATGCATGATGGGACTATTACGTCATCAGGCCATGTGCTTCTCGCCCAAGTATGTATGCTCCAGCCGACCGCAACAAAGCTGCTGCTCTTCAAGTCGTGTTGTGTGCTTTTGGGGAATGTTAGTCACGATACCACAGAAAGGTTAACACTAACACACACAAGAAAGAAGTGAGGATTTCCACCTTATACACAGAAGAGCTGTACTGTAGGAAAAAATGGTAATGCATAGCTCACAGCTTTATTCTGTTAAAAAATCTGAAAATTTAGTTTCAGTGTGATTGCAGTTTTGTAAGAATTGTCTTTCTACTAACCTTGCTTCAGTGTTGTATGTTTCACAATGGTTGTCTGAACAGCTCCACTCTGTAGAACTCCTCCCTCTTTCATTATCAGTTGTAGTCGAGAGAACTGTGAGCACAGCGTCACCACTGCACTTAGAAGACTGGATGGCATCCCCGTCACAAACTTGTATGTCCTCCATATCAACACACTGTCAGGTGGTCTCTTGCCCTTGGCCCAGTAGTCAGACTAGAGCAACAATCAAACTGGATGTAGACTAGAGGAACAATCAAACTGGATGTAGACAAGAGGAACAATCAAACTGGATGTAGACAAGAGAGTAGGGACAATCAAACTGGATGTAGACTAGAGGAACAATCAAACTGGATGTAGACTAGAGAGTAGGGACAATCAAACTGGATGTAGACTAGAGAGTAGGGACAATCAAACTGGATGTAGACTAGAGGAACAATCAAACTGGATGTAGACTAGAGGAACAATCAAACTGGATGTAGACTAGAGAGTAGGGACAATCAAACTGGATGTAGACTAGAGAGTAGGGACAATCAAACTGGATGTAGACTAGAGAGTAGGGACAATCAAACTGGATGTAGACTAGAGAGTAGGGACAATCAAACTGGATGTAGACAAGAGAGTAGGGACAATCAAACTGGATGTAGACTAGAGAGTAGGGACAATCAAACTGGATGTAGACTAGAGAGTAGAGACAATCAAACTGGATGTAGACTAGAGAGTAGGGACAATCAAACTGGATGTAGACTAGAGAGTAGGGACAATCAAACTGGATGTAGACTAGAGAGTAGGGACAATCAAACTGGATGTAGACTAGAGAGTAGGGGACAATCAAACTGGATGTAGACTAGAGAGTAGGGACAATCAAACTGGATGTAGACTAGAGGAACAATCAAACTGGATGTAGACAAGAGGAACAATCAAACTGGATGTAGACAAGAGAGTAGGGACAATCAAACTGGATGTAGACTAGAGGAACAATCAAACTGGATGTAGACAAGAGAGTAGGGACAATCAAACTGGATGTAGACTAGAACAATCAAACTGGATGTAGACTAGAGTAGGACAAACTGGATGTAGACTAGAGAGTAGGGACAATCAAACTGGATGTAGACTAGAGAGTAGGGACAATCAAACTGGATGTAGACTAGAGAGTAGGGACAATCAAACTGGATGTAGACTAGAGAGTAGGGACAATCAAACTGGATGTAGACTAGAGAGTAGGGACAATCAAACTGGATGTAGACAAGAGAGTAGGGACAATCAAACTGGATGTAGACTAGAGGAACAATCAAACTGGATGTAGACTAGAGAGTAGGGACAATCAAACTGGATGTAGACTAGAGAGTAGGACAATCAAACTGGATGTAGACTAGAGAGTAGGGACAATCAAACTGGATGTAGACTAGAGAGTAGGGACAATCAAACTGGATGTAGACAAGAGTAGGGACAATCAAACTGGATGTAGACTAGAGAGTAGGGACAATCAAACTGGATGTAGACTAGAGAGTAGGGACAATCAAACTGGATGTAGACTAGAGAGTAGGGACAATCAAACTGGATGTAGACTAGAGAGTAGGGACAATCAAACTGGATGTAGACAAGAGAGTAGGGACAATCAAACTGGATGTAGACTAGAGAGTAGGGACAATCAAACTGGATGTAGACAAGAGAGTAGGGACAATCAAACTGGATGTAGACTAGAGAGTAGGGACAATCAAACTGGATGTAGACTAGAGAGTAGAGACAATCAAACTGGATGTAGACTAGAGAGTAGGGACAATCAAACTGGATGTAGACTAGAGAGTAGGGACAATCAAACTGGATGTAGACTAGAGAGTAGGGACAATCAAACTGGATGTAGACTAGAGAGAGTAGGGACAATCAAACTGGATGTAGACTAGAGAGTAGGGACAATCAAACTGGATGTAGACTAGAGAGTAGGGACAATCAAACTGGATGTAGACTAGAGAGTAGGGACAATCAAACTGGATGTAGACTAGAGAGTAGGGACAATCAAACTGGATGTAGACTAGAGAGGAACAATCAAACTGGATGTAGACTAGAGAGTAGGGACAATCAAACTGGATGTAGACTAGAGAGTAGGGACAATCAAACTGGATGTAGACAAGAGGAACAATCAAACTGGATGTAGACTAGAGAGTAGGGACAATCAAACTGGATGTAGACAAGAGAGTAGGGACAATCAAACTGGATGTAGACTAGAGAGTAGGGACAATCAAACTGGATGTAGACAAGAGAGTAGGGACAATCAAACTGGATGTAGACTAGAGAGTAGGGACAATCAAACTGGATGTAGACAAGAGGAACAATCAAACTGGATGTAGACTAGAGAGTAGGGACAATCAAACTGGATGTAGACAAGAGGAACAATCAAACTGGATGTAGACAAGAGAGTAGGGACAATCAAACTGGATGTAGACTAGAGAGTAGGGACAATCAAACTGGATGTAGACTAGAGAGTAGGGGACAATCAAACTGGATGTAGACAAGAGGAACAATCAAACTGGATGTAGACTAGAGAGTAGGGACAATCAAACTGGATGTAGACAAGAGAGTAGGGACAATCAAACTGGATGTAGACAAGAGAAACAATCAAATCGAACTGGATGTAGACTAGAGAGTAGGGACAATCAAACTGGATGTAGACAAGAGGAACAATCAAAGTGGATGTAGACTAGAGAGTAGGGACAATCAAACTGGATGTAGACAAGAGAGTAGGGACAATCAAACTGGATGTAGACTAGAGAATAGGGACAATCAAACCGGCCCATGGATGTAGACTAAAGAGTAGGGACAATCAACCTGGATGTAGACAAGAGGAACAATCAAACTGGCGCATGGATGTAGACTAGTAGGGACAATCAAACTGGATGTAGACAAGAGGAACAATCAAACTGGCCCATGGATGTAGACTAAAGAGTAGGGACAATCAAACTGGATGTAGACAAGAGGAACAATCAAACTGGCCCATGGATGGACAATAGACTAGAGAGTAGGGACAATCAAACTGGATGTAGACTAGAGAGTAGGGACAATCAAACTGGATGTAGACAAGAGGAACAATCAAACTGGATGTAGACTAGAGTAAGAAGTAGGACAATCAAACTGGATGTAGACAAGAGAGAGGAACAATCAAACTGGATGTAGACAAGAGAGTAGGGACAATCAAACTGGATGTAGACAAGAGAGTAGGGACAATCAAACTGGATGTAGACTAGAGAGTAGGGACAATCAAACTGGATGTAGACAAGAGGAACAATCAAACTGGATGTAGACTAGAGAGTAGGGACAATCAAACAGGGAATGGATGTAGACAAGAGAGAGTAGGACAATCAAACTGGATGTAGACTAGAGAAACAATCAAACTGGCCCATGGATGTAGACTAGAGAGTAGGGACAATCAAACTGGATGTAGACAAGAGGAACAATCAAACTGGATGTAGACTAGAGAGTAGGGACAATCAAACTGGATGTAGACAAGAGAAGAGGGACAATCAAACTGGATGTAGACTAGAGGAACAATCAAACTGGCCCATGGATGTAGACTAAAGAGTAGGGACAATCAACCTGGATGTAGACAAAAGGAACAATCAAACTGGCGCATGGACGTAGACTTGAGGACAATCAAACTGGATGTAGACTAAAGAGTAGGGACAATCAAACTGGATGTAGACAAGAGGAACAATCAAACTGGCCCATGGATGTAGACTAAAGAGTAGGGACAATCAAACTGGATGTAGACAAGAGGAACAATCAAACTGGCCCATGGATGTAGACTAGAGAGTAGGGACAATCAAACTGGATGTAGACAAGAGAGTAGGGACAATCAAACTGGATGTAGACTAGAGGAACAATCAAACTGGCCCATGGATGTAGACTAGTAGGGACAATCAAACTGGATGTAGACTAGAGAGTAGAGACAATCAAACTGGATGAAGACAAGAAGAACAATCAAACTGGATGTAGACTTAAGAGTAGGGACAATCAAACTGGATGTAGACTAGAGGAACAATCAAACTGGATGTAGACTAAAGAGTGGGGACAATCAAACTGGATGTAGACTAGAGGAACAATCAAACTGGACGTACACTTAAGAGTAGGGACAATCAATCTGGATGTAGACTTGAGAGTAGGGACAATCAAACTGGATGTAGACTAGAGAGTAGGGACAATCAAACTGGATGTTGGCTGGAGGAACAATCAAACTGGCTGTATACTTGAGAGTAGGGACAATCAAACTAGATGTTATACAGGCGCTACACACAACACAGGGTTATACAGGGGCTACACACAACACAGGGTTATAGAGGGACCACACACAACACAGGGTTACACAGGGGCTACACACAACACAGGGTTATAGAGGGACCACACACAACAAAGGGTTATACAGGGGGCTACAAACAACACAGGGTTATACAGGGACTACACACAACATAGGGTTATACAGGGGCTACACAGAGCACAGGGTTATACAGGGGCTACACACAACACAGGGTTATAGAGGGACCACACACAACACAGGGTTATACAGGGCTACACACAACACAGGGTTATACACAACACAGGGTTACTACACACAACACACAGGGTTATACAGGGACTACACACACAACACAGGGTTATACAGGGTTACTGGCACACACAACACAGGGTTATACAGGGACCACACACAACACAGGGTTATACAGGACTACACACACAACACACAGGGTTATACTGGGGCTACACACAACACAGGGTTATACAGGGACTACACACAACACAGGGTTATACAGGGGCTACACACAACACAGGGTTATACAGGGACCACACACAACACAGGGTTATACAGGGACTACACACAACACAGGGTTATACAGGGACTACACACAACACAGGGTTATACAGGGACTACACACAACACAGGGTTATACAGGGACTACACACAACAACAGGGTTATACAGGAAGTACACACAACACAGGGTTATACAGGGTTATACACTACACAACACAGGGTTATACACGGACTACACACAACACAGGGTTATAGACGGACCACACACAACACAGGGTTATACAGGGACTACACACAACAAAGGGTTATACACGGACTACACACAACACAGGGTTATACACGGACTACACACAACACAGGGTTATATAGGGGCTACATATAACACAGGGTTATACAGGAACTACATACAACACAGGGTTATACAGGGACCACACACAACACAGGGTTATACAGGGACCACACACAACACAGGGTTATACACGGACTACACACAACAAAGGGTTATACACGGACTACACACAACACAGGGTTATATGAGTCTGTGTTTTTAATTGCCAGGCAGGAGTTTGAAGGCTACTCACCATACTTGTGCTGGCCTGGCCAATATGCTTTGTGAGGGTAAAGAAGTGGGAAGGGTCTGACGGGTCTGTCCTCAAACACGGAACTCGGAGGAGGCCCATCTGGATCAGCAGCTGCTTCAACACACTTGTCTGAAGAGAGACGCAGTAACCAATGAAACTACTCCTGAGTGTTTCCAGGAATGTGCTTCAGTTGGGGTGGAAACAACATCTGTCACAGAGAGGATTAGGATGGAGGACTGTATTTTGGCAGCTTGAGTTTCAAGGGCTTTGGTTTCCTTAGCTAAGAAGCTTTGTTTTGCATTATGGCAACTGTGAATGTGTCACGGTTTACCTTCTGTGCCTCTGAGGGAGTTGAAAACCATGTGGAACCAGTGACATGGCTATAATAATGTGGAAGCTGGGGCTCAGTGCTGCTGAAGGAGTAGTTGTCGGCACAGGTACTACAGATATGTACCCCAGGTACGTTTCTGTATACAGACATGTACCCTAAACAAAGTCAAACTACAGAAACGTACCCGGTACCCTAAACGACGGACGAGTCCATATTCCGCGACCCAATACCGACATCGTATGTAGTTATTCCCGTTCAGCTGATTGCGAGTGGTGTATGTTGTGCACTGTGAAATATTCGTTATACTGTGTATGCTCTTATATAACGCAATCAAATGCATCTAATACAACAGTATGACAGTTCCGATCAAGAAAACTCCACAATGCAGAATGGAATCGTCCTAGGGTACATTTCTGTATTCTGATTATGGCCAAGGTACATTTCTGTATACAGAAGCGTACCTGGGGTACACATCTGTATAAACCGTGCCGACAACGACCCTTTCAGCCTCAGTGCTATATGAATAGAGTATTACTTGTATGATGAATGTCACCAAGACATGTGGTGTGAGCTTTACTAGTAAGGAGACCCCACCTGTTCCTTGTCCATTTCTCTTGCTGATGTGATGACGTCTTCTTCCCACAGCAGAGTGCCCTCCCCTGCCACCACCACCCGCCGGTCTTGGGTTCCCTCCCTCTACAGACGCCACCTGGGCAAACACCTTGTGGAGAAATCCTCGGTCCACAGCAAACTCATCACAGTTGAACTTAACAAGGAACAGTTGACCCTGAAATGAGGGAAGCCTGTAATAACATACAGTTTACCTCAATAACATACAGTTTACCTCAACAAACAGTACCTTTGCCTGTGTAGGAGTGTGAGTACAACTATTGCTGTGTTGGTATTGTAGCATTGGCGTGTGTCAGTAAAACTATTGATGTGTTGGTATGGTAGTATTGGTGTCTTTGATTACACAATGCCATTTAGAAAATGGTCAAATGTAACATATGTTATATTTGGGATTACACTTTCTTAGTAAAGTACAAATTCTAGTACTTCTTTGAGTTGAGCCCCATTCGGGATTCAAACTCACACCCTCAGAGTCAGGCACCTAATCGCCAACACACAAAGTCAGCCGCCTAACCTATTCAGCTACCGCGACTTCCACAAAAATGGAAGTCGGACAACTGGTAGTCTAGACTGCGGGCTTTGTGTACCCCTCTGATAGGTGTTAATTGGCACGGTTCCCACGACTGAAAGCTAGTACTAGAATTTGTACTTTACTAAGAAAGTGAAATCCCAAATATAACATATGTTACATTTGACCACTTTCTAAATGGCATTGTGTAATCATAGCTTTCGGTCGTGGGAACCTATCAGAGGGGTACACAAAGCCCGCAGTCTAGACTACCAGTTGTCCGACTTCCATTTTTGTGGAAGCCGCGGTAGGTGAATAGGTTAGGCGGCTGACTTTGTGTGCTGGCGATTAGGTGCCTGACTCTGAGGGTGTGAGTTCGAATCCCGGATGGGGCTCAACTCAAAGAAGTACTAGAATTTGTACTTTACTAAGAAAGTGTAATCCCAAATATAACATATGTAAGTATTGGTGTCTGTCAGTACATCTATTGCTGTGTTGGTATTGTAGTATTGGTGTGTGTCAGTACACCTACTGATGATGTACAATGTACAATGTATAATACAATACAATAGAAAAGGAATGATATGCACAATAACTAGAACATATCAATATATGTTTACAATAAGAATGTGTTACGTCGCATAAATGCTTCTTTGGTATAATTTGCATACATATTTAGATAGTTACTATTTTCATTTTGGAGAAGGTGTATGATAGAATCTTTACAGTCCATATTTAGCATATAATGTATTCTGAAATCATTATACAGTGGGCAAATAAACATAAACTGAGCCTCCTCTTCTACAATGTTATTACAAAATGGACAAAATCTTAATTCTCTTTGTATATTATTTTTTGTTCTTGCATTCTTCATGTCAGATATTCAATTCACCTAATCTTAAAAGTGATAAAAATCCTTGTCAATCTTTGTTGTGTAAAGTTGTCAAATATATATTTATGGTTTTAGTTATGCATGGGATTTTCAAAATAATTAATTGTTAACACTGATTTATTTAATAAGCAGTTTTCACAACAATTTAAAGATTGTAACATCCAGTCTATATTTTCCTTGTTAAATAAATAACCGCATTCAGATAAAACTGTTGTATCTGTTGTGATAATACCAACACCAACGACATATTTACAGTATTTTACAAGAAATATTTCTATCAGAAGTGGGCTTCACACATTGTGCCCGTGTGGGGAATCGGCAACGAGTGTAGAGAATGAGCAACCAGTGTAGGGCATGGGCAACCAGTGTAGAGAATGAGCAACCAGTGTTGAGAATGGGCAGCCAGTGTAGGGCATGGGCAACCAGTGTAGAGAATGAGCAACCAGTGTAGAGAATGGGCAGCCAGTGTAGAGAATGAGCAACCAGTGTAGAGCATGAGCAACCAGTGTAGAGCATGAGCAACCAGTGTAGAGAATGAGCAACCAGTGTAGAGAATGAGCAACCAGTGTAGAGCATGAGCAACCAGTGTAGAGCATGAGCAACCAGTGTAGAGAATGAGCAACCAGTGTAGGGCATGGGCAACCAGTGTAGAGAATGAGCAACCAGTGTAGGGCATGGGCAACCAGTGTAGAGAATGAGCAACCAGTGTAGAGAATGAGCAACCAGTGTAGAGAATGAGCAACCAGTGTACAGTGTAGAGAATGAGCAACCAGTGTAGAGAATGAGCAACCAGTGTAGGGTATGGGCAACCAGTGTAGAGAATGAGCAACCAGTGTAGGGCATGGGCAACCAGTGTAGAGAATGAGCAACCAGTGTAGAGAATGAGCAACCAGTGTAGATAATGAGCAACCAGTGTAGATAATGAGCAACCAGTGTAGAGAATGGGCAGCCAGTGTAGAGAATGAGCAACCAGTGTAGAGAATGGGCAACCAGTGTAGAGAATGGGCAGCCAGTGTAGAGCATGAGCAACCAGTGTAGAGCATGGGCAGCCAGTGTAGAGCATGAGCAACCAGTGTAGGGCATGGGCAACCAGTGTAGATAATGAGCAACCAGTGTAGGGCATGGGCAACCAGTGTAGAGAATGAGCAACCAGTGTAGAGAATGAGCAACCAGTGTAGAGAATGAGCAACCAGTGTAGATAATGAGCAACCAGTGTAGAGCATGGGCAACCAGTGTAGAGAATGAAGTGGCAGAGCATCATTTAGCAGCTGTAATAGCTTGTAGTTTTATATACTTCACATTCTTAAACATCCATTTTTCAGTCATCTTTAGTATACCTCCATTGCCAAAAACAATTAACTGTTAAAACCCATTTTGTGCAAACTTAGGATAAAATATTAATCTTCCTTCGTAAACCTATAACTGTGTCAGAAAATAAACATAAATCATCAGCATAAAATAATAAAAAGAGTTCTTAAAGTTCCGTTCGAAAAAAAACAAAACCTCTATTGTCAGATGATGTAAGATCCCCTTCGACTTGATTTACAAACATACTGAATAACAATGGACTGAGTATACATCTTTGGCGTACACCACTCAAGGAATTGAAATATACTGAAATACTACAACTTGATAGTTTTACAGCTGAAATTGATTTAATGTACAAATCACACACTATTGAAAGCATTTTACCCCGAATATTGTTTTGAGAAAGAATATACCATGATAGTTCTCTATTTACACAATCAAATGCTTTATGAGAAGCAAACATATATACAATAAAATCGACCGGCCTGTTTATACCGCGAAAATATACACATGTGCAAATTTGCATACAGTATTGAGCAATAAATATGAGACAAGTTTTGATTCAATGTCTTGATTTAATAACTGACATAAATCTATGAAAATTGGGACACATGTAGATAATGCATTGTTAAATCGTTTACAATGAGTCAATAGTGACTCAGTCCACTATTTTGCTCCAAACACTGTTCAGTCCACCGAGGCATGAAATTTACAAGAATGTCTATCAGTTCCTCAGATAGCTTGTACCTCATTTCATGAATCACTTATTTCCAATCTGCAATGTCTTTCGGTTCCAACTTTTCCACTTTGTCCTTGATGATTTGCCAGACATTTTTGATGGGGTTCAGGTCTGGTGAAGCGGCCGGAAAATGCACTACCTGAATGCAGTTCCGACAAAGCCAAGCTTCGGTGTAGGCGGACATGTGTATGCAGGCACTATCTTGTTGCATTAAGTAGTATTAGGATGGGGTTCAGTTTGTGTTTTATAGGGTTATTTGTGTCTGAATAAGCCTCCAATGTTGGTGAAAAAATGGTGTGTTTGATGGCGGACCATCGTTGGATGCGTCCTTAAATGGCTCGAAGTGAGCTGAGTATGGAGTCTAAGCGAGGTCTAAAAAAAGACTAGCTCGCCAGCTTAGGCAGTCACAGCAGTCCCGACAGCGTGATGGTAGAGCACTGGACTGAGAATCCTGCGGTTCTGGTTCGGTTCTGGTTCGAGTCAGGCTAGCGGAGGAAACTTTTGCAAGTGAGCAGAGTGATGTTTGTATGGACCGGCCTAGATATCCCATTAGTGAGGTTTGTACGTCAAGCCAGCACTCATACATGAGCGCTGGACTGGCCTAGATACCTTAGCCACATGACAGGCCGCACCTCCTTAGTGAGGTTTCCTGCGGCAGTTTGTGTTGATTGGTTTATTGGGGTTAATTACCCGAATTATTTTATTTTTTAATTTTTTATTTTTTATTCTGAGTAGTCGGTTACGTTTGTTGAGATAATCTTTTTTCTTATCATAAATAAGTTGGTTTCAGACCATGGCCGCTCAGTGGGCTTTGCACAAACCATAATGACATTTCACTCCAATACCACATACCGTGCATGTGTAGTTCACGAAACCCTTTCTGATAGACATGTTTATCCCGCAGTACTCTGTCCTGCATTTCTTGCAGAAAGTCTCGGCTTTTCCCCAAAGCACATATTTGCAATGATACTAAGCTAGTCTCATCTTTGCTATATGCACTTAGATATATTGTTTGTCTAATTGATTAGAGTCGAGTCGTTTTACGGTGACGAGATAATAGACATGCATGGCTTCACCCACGTCCTTAAACGCTCGCATGGTGTGACCTTCTCGTTGGAGTTGGTCGTGGATAAAATCTATTTTAGTATGTGTTTTTTCGTGTAGTAGGCTTGTGCGGCTTAAATTTCTCGATGGGTAAATCATGACGTTTCCGATCCGCTTCTATTTCGGCCACGTTCGACGTTCGTAGATAAGAAAAAAGGTAATTGCTACCCGACAAGGCTAGGGCGTTGACTAAGACCCACCAACCATCAAGGCAATCGTGGCCATTTATATTTGATATATAATGGTTCTTACCTTAATACGTTTTCCGGAATGATCCCTTGCTTGATGAGCATATCTTTGGTGGCCATCACCAGTCCCAAGCCCATGTCTTGCAGGTTGAAATCAAGTTTGGGTGCTTTGGTGGCTATCACCATTCCCAAATCTACGACAAGCATGCCAATGTCGAGTTTGGGAGTTGGTTGTTTCGTGATCACTTTACTTAAATGCACATAGCCGATGGCTAGACCGCTAACCATGGCGGAGTGATACGCATCGTTGACAAATTTTTTCCATTGGCGGTAGACATGACTATAACATAACGTGTGGGTTTACCTCTAATTGTTTTGTTAATGGTGGACCATCACCGGTGGTGTCGTCTTTTTGTTT